CAACATATAAATGATACAGAGGGAGCAGAAAAAAAAAAGAAGAGGGTGGTTAAAAAGGAAAGACCACTTCCAAGTCATTTTAGGAGCAATAAACAGAGAAAAAAACTGCCTTTTCAAAAAAGGCCAAGTAGTAAATAACACTGGCTAAGCTACATTTATAAGTTATTTATTTCTTTCTTCCACTGAGCAGCCCTAACATAAAAAAGCATAACAATTTGAGGGTGTTACATGTCATTACAAGAACCCTTTCTTTAAATTCCAAGATAAAGTCTTCATTGCCAGCCCTGCAGGGAGTTAAGAGGTTTGATTTTCTACTACACATTATCTGAAAAGAAATCAAAGAGTTACAATAGAAATTAAAGCCTGTTACTTCTTTTCCTTGCAGTCATGACAAAAAAAAAAATCCCTCCCTGAACACACCCAGCAAGAATCACTTACAGCTTGCTCTGCTTATGCCCCCAACACTTAAAAAATCATTTTTCTGCACACTGAAATTTTCTCAGGTTTAATCAACACAGTACAGTCTACTAAGAAAAAAAAAATACTTGAGAAGTATTTCCTTTGAATCCTTTCTTCATCAAAAAATCTGCATCTAACCTTATGACATTTGTTTTTACATGTTCTTCCTGAGATCCTGTACATTAGAGACTGCTTAGGCAAAACTGAAATATATATTTAATGCCAATCAACACAGTTTAATAGGACAGGCTGCTGCATACCTCTAGCAGAGATTCCCCAATGGGATTTGTAGGAACTGGCTATGCTTTTCTCAGACTTCTAAGAGCACCTGAATCAAACGGACCATGTAACTTTTTCCAGCTATAGCCATTAAATAGGCCCAGAAAAGCAGATCTTGCAACTCAAATACACAAGATGAGGCCAGTGCTCTTCATTGTGTGGGCAATTCTGGGTTTTCAGATCACCCCTTCAGCTACTTATGTCAGAAGAGTTTTTGTTTGATTGCCTAAAGAAACACATGTAAGAAAACCAATTAGACAAGTACGCATCTCTTTGCCTAAGTTCCTTCACAACACTTTCGTATTTCAGTCAAAATCCACTTGGGCTTCTCTGAGAGATGAGGCATCTCTTTCTGAAAGGAGTCCGTACTTGCTCTTATACACAGACTTGGTATATAAGAGACGGCTTCCTATGCGTAGCTTCCAGTTTTACCATTACATCAACCTTATTGATAACGCAAAAGCCTTTCAACAAGGACGGACACTTAAAACCAGCATTTACTCACTCTCTGTAAAATTCTCACTACAACAGTACCACAATTAGACTATTTATCCAATCCCAATAACCAATTATTCCTCATTCCCAGTGGGAATCTGAGAGAAGTCAGCCTTTTGAAATGAAAGAGCAGGCAGACAATTCTAGAGGTAATACTAAGCAGCAGTCAGTCAGAATCACAGAGCAACACAGATCTCTCTGAAATCCCAATACAGATCCTGTCAAACCCATCTCATCTTGTTGATAAAAGTAATGGCATGAACAGAAGATTTCTGGAAGGGTGTTTGATGGAGTACCACATTATATTCTTACACAATTGGTCATATGGAGAGTCAGTAGAGCACTAAGTAAATGAAAACTGAAAAAAAAAAAAAACCTTTTAGGTGTGTCAGTCAAAGAAGCCATTACAGAACTGATGCACTCTACTGCAGGTTTAGCAGTTGTGCTTATTAAGGTCACCATTATCATCAGTGGTGTGGAAAGAGTCCCTAATGACAGGATTTGCATATAAAACATTGGAAGCCAAGTACACAGGGAGGACAATACTGTCATTTTTGATGATCTAAACTGCTGCAGAAAATAAGCTAATTCGAACAATGTTGGTTAATGTAGTTAGAGGCCAGCTACTCATCAATCAAGGCTTCAGGCTCCTGCTGAGTATCAACTTAACGAAGTTTGTTCGATGGCAGACAGTGAGAGTCAGCAGCTCCTGACTCAGCTCATTAATGCAGAGCTGGGAAGGAGTGCGAAAGCATCACCACCTAACCCGGACAACTGCTGCTAGAGCCAGGCTACATCCTGGAGGAACTCTGTGAGAAAAGCATATTTTCTCTCTTCCTGAGAGGAAATTATACATAATTACTATTATGAAAATCATCTTAACATACGTTTGTCTGAAAGCTGGTTCCATTGATTAGTCCCTATGTCCAAAGGCTCCAGTTGTGAAAATTTGTAACAATCATCTTTAAAATCCATCATCTGAAAGTATTTTACTTTAATAATTGTCTTTATAAGCAAAGATTTTTGTTTTACTGTTTATAGTAAAAAATCCTTTCGAATACTACGTGAAAGGAAATTAATTGTAATAGGATTACTGATAAGCATTGAAAACTTGGAAAGCACAAACTTACTTCAACAGGTTAAAAGAAAACCTATTGAAATTTTTTTAAAAAATGGGTTTAAATGGACAATTTGGGCCATACCTAGAAAAGTAAGAGCAGTTTTGCTCTGTTCTCTATGTTGTTCAAGGGAAAAACTCATAGATTGTCTTTGTTTGATAGAAAAGAACTATTATTACACAATAGTAGGAAGTCATAGCCCAATGAAAGCAAACTCCAAATAAACCATACAGGAAAGTGATTCCCCTCTCACTGGGGCAACCTCTATTTCAGCAAAGAGCAGCTTGCTTTGGTTTAGTATAAACTTCAGTGACAAACTCAGTTAAAGTCCCCTGTATTCAGGAATAAAAGTCCTTGCCAAGTTACAGCTGTATCTGCTTATATTCACACCCAGTCTTGCTCCACTATGATTTTTCTAAACAAGCAGGCCTAAGATGTGGAGTCAACACGACCAGGGTCTCTGTAATACTTGCTTGTACTGAACACACAAAGGCTGCATCCCAACATTCGCCAACAAGTTTAATAATTTAATAAAAAGCAGAGTTATTACAAGGTTCTTTATCGCTAACAACTTTCCAAGAATTTTTGAGGTTAGTCTTTTTTAACCCATGTCTTTCCACAAAAGCATGACAAAAAATCGTCATACATTCTACTCCCTTTCAACACGTAAAACATGGAGAAAAGAAGATGCACTAAATGCGACCTTAAGTCTCTTTAGAGGTGAATCAAAAAATACTCAGCATGCCATAGGTTAACTTTTGATTAATATTTGGAAATTATTAAGAGGTGTGGTTTTTTTTAAAGTACATTTTGAAATGGTAGAAGTTGGTTTCAGAGAAGCCTGTTATTCATACCCATTTCATGGGAAAAAGAAATTAAAATTAAGACTCAAACACTTTGTTTCCTTATTGTTTTAACATGTTTCTGAATTAATAATAACAAGGCTGAATCTTTATGATCTCTTAATATGCATTCATTACAAATATGTTTAGTCAATTAGTATTTCAGACTGCAGTTGCAGGGTTGGCAAACCGAAGATCGAACTTGCAAAAAAAAAAAAAAACCAAAACATTTCACACATCGCCAGTTTGCTGGTTCTATAAAAGCAATCAAGCCAGGTTCTCCTTTGCACACATGACATCACTCTGTGCAAAGGTAATTGACTGATTGTACTAAACAGTGTTCCCCACATGCAAAGAAGTAGAAATCCAGTTCATTTTTCCAGCTGACATAAGCCCTATACATCAAGCAAGTAATAATCAACTACTCAGATTTTAGTCAGTCATTTAAAAAAAAAAAACTATCAACCAGAACTTTAAGATTAAGCACCTCAGTGATAGAACTCCAAATATTTCAAACACCCACAAAACATGACATTATCTGACGCCTGCACAACTCTAGCAGAGCAATACATCACAGTACTCTAGCAAAGGATATGAATCCCTAATAGCTTCATTTTGGACATGCTGTACCACCTTGCAGAAGTAGATACATAAACTTTGGCTAAACACAGGTCAAATACAATCTCTAACCTTCAGCTAGCTCTTTCCTTTCAGGCACCCATTCCATATGCTGAGATAGATCCTCAAAGCGTCCCACTATGACACCCGACAACCAGTGATTGTCAACAGTAACTGGGAAGAGAAGAGTTCAGCCCTTACACAAAGCTTAAAGAGAGAGGTCCCTCTTGCCAGATGACATACATCTGACTTCAAATAGGCAGGTATTATACTAAGAATTTTAAAACATTAAAAACTTAAGACTAGACTTACTGCATAACTTCTTAAACACACACAGCCCTCAAAACCCTCATGGAACATTTATCGTCTGGGAAAGCCTCCTCCCTCATTTACTCCTGAAACTGGTGCAGTGATTTAGAGAGCTGAATACGTGTTGCGCTTTCTTTGGAGTTCTTACTGCTGTCCGTACTGCTAACAGCAAGCGCATAAGCACATGCCACAGCTTGCAGACACCAGATGTACAGTGTTATTTTAACTAAATCTATTGACCCGTAGTGGAATAGGCAGATTTAAATTTTGCTGAATGAAGTTACTGAAAAAGATCAGAGATTATCAGTTCCTGCTAATTATTAGCACATTAATAGTTGTAAAACCATCTGAAAGGATATATACTCCTCAAAACAGAAATAATAATTTCCAGTTTATGGGCAATTACAGAGTGACTCAAGCTACAAAGTGACTCTAAGCAAAGAGCGAGCAGCAAAAGGCCCTTTAGTTCCTGGCTCTCCACCAAATTCTCAGTCAGTAAAACCAAGCGCCTGTAAAAATATCAGATGCCTATCCAAATTTTGTACAAAGCACTCACCCTACAAAAGTTTAAAAAATACTCCCAAGAACAAAATGCAGATTGCTAACGCAGACTTTTAATGCATACTGAGCTATCCAGTTACAAAGTCAGCAGAACTTCCATTCCTGTGACAGAATTATTAGAACAGTTCTTGTTGCCTAAGCAGTCGCTTGGATCACAGAAAAATTTAAAAAGAAAAAAAGAGGGAGGAGGAGAAGGAAAAAAGGCACGATTTTCACATTTTCCCAAACAAACTCAGCTACCTCTCCTCCCAAAAGCAGCCTGTCACAGCCTTACACCCCAGGGCTGGAAAACACACGGAGGCAGTGAGGCGAGCATTACCTGCCAGCGGCCGTAGCTGAGAAGCAGGAGGGCCAGGGGGATGGCGGTGCCCGACATGGCGTGGGTGGAGGGCATGCTGTACTCCGAGTTGTAGAAGACTTCCAGCTTCACCACAGGCGGGGAGGCGGGCCGCGGCCAGCGGATGACATCCTTAGTGCACTGCCCCAGGTACATCACCCACACCCAGATGATGATAAGCCTCCGGCCCAGCCAGGCGTCCAAGTTCCAGATGCAGAAGGGGAAGAAGAGGATGTAGAAGAGCTCGTTGCCCAGCTCCGTACCCAGGCTGAAGAGACAGTAGAGGAAGCGGCTGCGGGTGGAGAACTCCTGGCTGCCGTCCTCCTCCGTGAGGGAGTTGCGGCGCGGCCTCCTCCTCCACCGCTGCTGGGGGCC